AGTAATTATCAATACACAAGACAATACAAATTATATTACATTATTTATAAATGCAATCGCAATATGGTAAAATATTGAGTTAAAAATTATTACCGTATAGCGGGATATTTTCGTGGGGTCAAATTTTCGTGATTTGGGGTGGTTGAGATTTTTGTGGGTTAAATTTTCGTGATAACTGTATTATAAGAGCCTCTGGCAAAGCCTGGTGAGCTTTCTCTACCTCTCTCTCGACAGCTTTAATCGTTTTTGAGGGTAAGCCAAGTGTACTTTCATCAATGGAAGCTTTTTTCTCCATTTTATTGCACGTGGAGCAATATACTGCAACAGGACACGCCTATACCAAATATGTGCTAAATTTTCGTGCCTTAAATTTTCGTGAAAGTATCTGGGACACAAAAAACACGAAAATAAGACTCCGCGAAAATATCCTGCTATACGGTACTAAAAATTAACAGCGGTAAAAATACTTTAGTTGTATAGACAGACAAAACTAATCACATTACATTAACTTTATTGGCAAAGCATTATGCTATATAAATGCTAAAAGTATTGAGTTGAAAATTATTATTAAAAACAAACAACAGCAAAAGAAAATTAAGTTATGAATATACAAAATAATAATAAAAGAAAGGATTAGGATTAGTGTGAAAGACACCAAAAGAAAACATAACAGATATTCAGTTAATCATAAAGTGTATTTTCAAACACTTAGATATCTGTTTAAAGAATTGAATATGGCCATACATAAAGTTATAACATGATACAAGGATTACATCATATCTCTAAAACTTAGTATGGTACAAGACATAATTCCACCCTTAATTTCCTTTGTCTTACTTGTTCTGTTTTTTTTCTCACCTACATATTTGTTGCCTAAAGATATGGCTAGCATTTATGCCCCCACCCATAAGTTGCTCAGACAGCTTTCATAAAAATTCATCTGAGTTTTTAAAGAGATACACAGTGTCAGTATTAAAAATGGAAAATTATCATGAGTTTTGATGTGGTGAGTCTGTTCACAAAACTACCTGGTGATGAAGTTATGACGATTATTAAACAATGATAAAGGATTGATAGACTGAAAACCTATCAAAGTAGAAGATATTCTAAAATTAACAGATCTGTTTCAGATTTGCTCTAGCATGCTTTAAACTTTTGGGACAGTTTTTTAAGAGATAAAGAGAGCAGCTTATGTTCTTTTTTGTCAACTATTGTTGCCAATATTTATAAAGATTGCTTTTAAGAGATGGCCCTAAATACTGTA